TATATATATATATATACATATATGTATATTTTAAAATCCTACAAGAATTTGTGGTTAAATCTAGTTGTAGGACAAAGTGAGATGCTACTTGAATCTGACGTTTCAATTTGCATGAATATTAAATAACGTTATAAATAATTACTATTGTAAGTCATGCAGGAATGTTATCATGAGTTTATTATTTTATGTCATAGGTTTGGATAATACTATACATCCCTATATTCACAGTTTTCTAAATCATGATGTCAATGGACAACAATTATTAAATATACAATCACAAGATTTAGAACGTTTGGGTGTAATAAAGCTCGGTCATCAGGAGATTATTCTTAATGCAGTAGAATATCTTAGAAGTTTTCATTACGAACTGGATAAAGAGAATCTGCAGTTGTTGGCATTGCGACTATCAAGCCAAGCGCACAGCTTACACAAGGAGTTGTGTCGGCAAAAAAATTCAGAGTCAGTTGGCACTCAAACATTGTCAGATGTAGCGTCCATTATGATGGTGGTCAAACCTTTAGTGAGATGGATGGATTATCCTCCATTTAATGGACACATAGAATACCATGCTAAGAAAGTTGAATTGATGAAAATATCAATAGAGATGGCTACATGTGCACAAAGAGATAGATTTGCTGAAAAGCCAGTCCAAGAAATTCGGACAACTTGTAGTCAACTAGCAACGTTAGCAGATTATATTATTCAAGATATTGTTGATCCTATGATATTACAGCCTGCAAGTTTAGATTTAGCAACATTAAAAAAGAAATCCAGCGATGATTTGGTACATTTTTTTAATAATATAACAATGTTTCAATTATCTCATTATGTTCAATTCTCAAAATATACGAAAAATTATATGTCATGTTGATTTAATTTTATCAGGGTTGCCTGTGATTTTCAATTATATTTCATGCCTAATGCGTTATTTGTAACGCTGTTACTATTATTTATTCTGTTTGTAACAATACCGATAACATAATTACATTTTTGCAGTAACGATAATGAATTCAACCGTTATTTATATCGTTATTTTAATTCCCTATTATCTTTATATCTATTCAATAGATTGCATTATTTTTTATCGGATAGAAAAATTTTATTTAAATAGAAATTTAAATATTGCAAAATGTTTTAAGCTTTATATTTTAGGCATTTCGGTAGTCACTGCTAATACTGATAATCTGTGATATATGTTTGACGTGAACTATACATTTTTAATATTGAAATGCATTTTTAATAATGGCATAATTGTTAAAAAATAATATTTAATATATATAAACATTTTTAATATTTGCATTTGTAAATTATAATCTAAATTTCTAAAAATAAGTAATTATATCTTTACCCTCTTGAGGACGATATATTGTCTAATAATTTAAAAAACCATTTTTTTAAATCATAATATGATTGCTGCTTTCTGATAACATTTTTTTTATATACTACGTAATCAAAATATTTTTTAATTATATAATTTTTACAAATGCATATATTACATCATATACTAGTATAATTTATTTAATTATTGGAATATTTCTTTTAGGGTTTTTATATTTTACCATCTTTTCATGGAGTACACCAGATAACTGAAATTAAACTTGGATCTGCCGCACATCAATCTGGCAAAATGATGGAAGGTGATCAGATAGTTCAAGTAATGTCTTATATTTATGTACTTCTTATATATTATAAATTTTGACAAATTATATAATTCTAAAATGTATTTAAATCTCTATACTAGGTGAATTATCAAACGGTAGTTGGTTGGGAGAGAAAAAATTTGCTTGAATTATTTCGTGAAAGTCCAGCAGAAATGCTTTTGACTATAAAACGTAGGCCAAGACATGCTAAAGTTTATGGCAAAATTTACATAAAACCATATAAACTTCCATGTAACAGAAATACTTCTTACGCAACACAAGGACGTAGTCTTCCATCGCCTAGACCAGAATTATTAACAATACCTGACTTTGCAATGCCATCACCTAGGTAAGTTACTTTTCTATATGTACCTTTATTATTTGTGTTCTGCTAATATTCTTTCTTATCTGATAACATGTGCGTATATACAAAGTATTCCGGAAAAGGTGAGCAATTTCTCAAGAATATACAGATGAAAATAACTCTATAAGTTCGTATATAAAACTTTTTCTTTGATGCATTATTGAAATATTCATTTTTTAAATTAAGATTTAAAAAGCATTTTTTTTTTAATAACTTTTATACTATTCTCTAGGTACTGATAATTTGTAATAATTTAGACACGATTATTGGATACTGGATATCCGGCATCACACTTTTTTTCGAATATTTAATATCTAATTATCCGGCCGGATGTTTTCCCGGATATCCTGTCGGATATCTGGAAAAAAACAGCAAGGAAAAAGCGATATTAATTTTTTTTATCTTTCCAACGTGTGAAAAGAAAAAGAGGAAAGAGAGATGAACTGTGCAAGAAATTCAGCTGAAAAGAATAAATTTCTGCATTAATGACGCAGACGATCAATATAAAATTTCAACCGGATATATTATCGGATACTACTGACTATCTGGCCGGATAGTAAAAAAGATACCGGGTGTTTCCTGGATATCTGGTGCATCCCTAATAATTGTGCACATAAACTAAGATTATCTTTTTAGTGCATTTTAGTGCAGAACTGTTCATTAAAAATTATTATAAACCTTAATATATTGATTTTATTTATACAAATTCAAAAACCACGTTTTTTGAACTATGGCTCTTATAATATGATCACCTGTCTATTTTATTCTAACACGTTTTGACATGAAATATGTAATATTTCATAAACTATTCATTTTTTGATAACTATCTTAATACTTTTATGCATAGAATGAGGAGATGAATCAATTGGTGTAAAGAAGAAAAACTATTATGCCAAATTGAAAAGTAAACGTAGATTGTAACTAATTATATTTAAATTCTCATTCTCTTAAAAATTGTTGCTTAAAATAAAAATATAAACTAACTTTTTTTTACTTAATTTTTTAAAAACTTTCTTGCTA